ACAAAACTGTGCACTTAGTCATGATGTTTTGTTCTTGGGACCCCACTCCACACCTGCTGCTTCACCTAGAGTACTATCGGGCTCTTTGTACAGCACCCTGGTTGACTTGGAGCGAGCACGTGACTGCTGATGCTTTCACACTGCCCGCTGCAATTGTCTTGCTGCAACTCCCCGAGAACTCCTCTGCCACGAAATCGGGATGTAAGCAAATCCACAGTATTCCAGAAGTTTAGACCTTGAAGCCGTGGAGCCGCAACTGCGACCGGAAAAAAAAAAAGCCCTGAGCCTTAGCCATGCCATTGCTGCTCCCCTGTCCGGAAAGGCGCGTCTGGGGACGCGAAGAGATTATGAGGAGACTTTGCAGATCCCTACTACTTGGGAGTGTATGCGGTCTGGGTAGTAGGTTCAGGGCATTCTGAGAATCTGGTCTTAGGGCATGTTGTGCATTTTCTTGGGAGCACAGGGCATAAAATGAGAACTGGGGGATGCTTCTTTCTCAGGATTCAGAAGAGATCAGGTATAATGGGGCTACATGGGTAATATTGGGATAATGGAAAAGAAAATGGAAACTACTACATCATAATAGGGTATATATTGGGGTTGTATATGGAGTAGTCAGGGGCTGCTTCTGGGCCCTCAGAGCTTTCCAGGGAGGACTTGCGCTGTGAACGTATCCAGTAAGGGAATGGATGCCCCAAACTGGTTCTCTGCATTCGAACCCCAATAATATGATCGTTTTCATGTTCTACTCCATTGCCTGATTCCCCACCAACCATCAATAAGGAGGGTGGACCTCTGGGCCTAACAATGAGAAACCAAAAAAAGGCTACCAGGAGACAGCCAATGCCTTCTCTATGAGCTGGCCTATGAAGCCACCATCTTCGAAATCAACTACCTGGTGTGGAATCCTGCGTGATACAGATGTATTGAACTTGGGAGGGTAGTCAGGTTTCGAATCCCATGCGTACCATTCCATACAAGAACAGAGGATTAGCTATGCCCACTGAGGCCTTGGGCCCTGTTCGACGCAAGAACCATCTTAAAGAGCTAATATATGCAACCCATTATAGTAGTTTCCATTTTCTTTTCCATTATCCCTATATAACCCCAATATACTATAGTAGTTATAGCCCCCATATACTGTATGCGGGTGTATGGAGACTGGGATATGATGAGCGCGCAGATGAATTTTAAAACCGTTGAACACCCGAAGCCAAGAGAGAGCTGCTAGGCAACCGCTCTTTCAGGCAGGCCTGATGCCTGCCACTTCTTCAAAAGATCCTGGAAGTGTTGGCGCCTCAGGCTTTGCTTCTCGCTTTCACCTTGAGCTCTCTAAGATGCCCCGAAGCTCCAAGCCCTAACTCAGACGCCCTCCTGGGTAGTTGTCATCTCTTCAGCTGCCATCTCTTTAAAGCTACCAAAGGAGGCAAAGGTCTCCCATTTTCGTGCACCTCTTCTCTAAGTGCTGGGCCATGCGGCCTCTGGGGTGGAGTAGCGGAATTGGTGTACAGCATCCAAGTAGGCCACCTGAACCAAGCTTCAGGGCTTAACCCTGGATTCCTCAATCCCTATCTCATCCCTCATCCTAATTCAATTCCCTACCTCCAAATCTTCAGCTTAATATCTCCGAGCTATTCTACAACAGACTTCGAAGCTAAGGCTTGAACCGTGGAGTCTTGTGAGCTTTAGGCACCCCTCTGTGTGATGCATTGGCCCCCCCAACAGGCTTCACCAGCCCGTTAGTCCCTGTCTCAGGCTCCTGTTTCTAGGAATATGAAGAAAAAACAATTTCAGACTCCGTCTTGGGCCGTGAAAATATGAAAGCCACAACCAACTGACTGATGCCTTGCCTCTTCAGAGTTCAGGGCACCGAAGACGCTTAGTTTCTCTGAAATTGCCCAACACAATCTTTGTGAGGTACCCCATAAGCCTTCTGATCACCCAATACGTCACCATTGTCCCTAAAGGGTCCCATGTTTACGAAACCCTGGCTATATACCCATTATTATATCATTTCCATTTTCCCCATATGTAATAATTACTCTATTATAGTGGTGGTTATATACCCTAGGTGGGATCTCGTACCACAGCTCTTGTGCCACTCTACAATCCGCGCTCTGCCTGCCCGGGGCGAGACTGGGAGGGCACAGCCCGGAAGTTTGGCGGCAGCGAGTGCGTGTTGCCTGGAGAAGATCTGCAGGGCGCTGAGGAATACTGAAGCGGTTCTATTCTTCAAATGTAGGGTTGGGACCTTGGGATTTCAGGATGGTGTTGTATCTAAGTTTTGGACGACTCTTTTGTCACCCATTTGAGCCTTTGGGGCTCATTGTGCGCAGTGCAAGATGCAAGGCTGGGGGGGGCTAGGGGGAGAGCTGGATCGTGCTCGGCAGTTGTCAACTGTGGAGTGAGGGAAAGGAGGGGCACTCTTTGTCAGTATGCTGTAGGTACGTGCAGCAGACGTGTTTCTCAACCTTGAAGAACCCACTGCTGGGCAGAGTGCAATTTGCTGAAATGCGTCCTACCTCCACGCTTACTGTCTTCCTGAAAAAGTGCTTTATAAATACACCTTCCTTGGAGGGTAAGGGGGGCTTAGTAATTAGTAAGTATACTTATAAACCCTATAACTCATGTAGTAACTCCAGTTATCCCCATTATTGACCTACTTAGTAAGTCCCCCTGACCCCCCCCCTAGTAAACACCATAGATGGGAAGTCGGACACAGCTTGAGCGACCTGAGCAGGACAGTCTAGTTGATTTTCTGGTGTTGTGTAATGCCCAGGCCTCAACAAGTAGGAAGATTATCACCTTGACATCCTCCCGAAACTATGGAAGAGTGTAAGCCGCCCTATTCTGCATATTGCAGTCCCTTCATTACGACAGTCGCTCCCAATCTTAGATCTTTGCTCTCCGGAACCGGGCATGGCATGGAACCCCTAGGCTCCAATGCTTCTTTAGTGCGGCATAGCCTCAACTTGCTGAGGAAAGGGGATAGGGTACAGCAGCCATGAAATACTGCTGCAGCTGGAACTGCCCATGGGGTCAGGTACACCGCCTTCAAGAACTGCTGTATGCGATGGACCCTGCAAATGAGCTACCCACGACTGTTGTGCATGTTGTAATGGCCACATACACTCGTGTAAGAGGCACGCTTCTTCATGCCAGAATACAGGAGATCTACCACGCAAAACTCCAGTGCATGCGACAGCTGATGCCAGTAACTACCGCTAAACCTAGCATTGATAACACTGGCAATGACACAGATAATCCTGACGGCGCTCGACACAATAACTCCTTCACAGTCGCGTAAGAAGCGGAAGGAGAACACTAAGCGAACCAAAGAAGCAAGGCTATTGGCTTCCGCAAATACGGTAGCGCAGCAGTGCAAGGGATGTAGTGACTTAAGGCATTGAAGGCAAGTACACACATGGAAAGCTTAAGAACACGTACTCAACCGGCCGCAACCCATAGACCAACAATCCCAAATCATACGGCCTCTAGACGCCCTGGAGTGGATCCTTTGAGCAGTCCCCGAACCACTCGATAGCTACCATTGTTAATAAGGGGATGCTGGCTAACATGATAATATGACGTTTAGGGTCCTTGTTTGGCTGCGGTTCCCAAAATCCTTTTGTTATTGATTTCGCAAGCTAGACAACTTGAAAGCATGAAGTGGTAAGGAGTGCTGCAGAGTTCCCGCTCGCAGCCAGCCCTGGGGAAAACCACTCCCTCAGCAAGAACTACAGGCGTTCAAAGGGCCTAGAACCTGAAAGGAAAAGCCACGGCCTGAAAGAAAGACCCCAGAAGGGGAGGAGAGGACTTTGTCATGCCAGGGCATCGACCCCAGCCCGCCTATGAACAAAGTTGCCAGATCCTTTCAACTTTAGATCCTGAAGTTCTAAGCCCATTCTCGCAGGCTTCGGGGCCTGTTTCGGGGTCCTCAAAATATGAGGATTATGGTGTGTGTATATATATATATATATAGAGGGGTCTCTATTGCACCCCCCTACTTATGGAAACTACCACAATGTAGGGGTCCGTTTGGGGTATCCTCTACCATAACATTAGCAGTAACCCAGGACCATAATATTGATTATTACTTAGGCTTCTCTGGTATTCCTGGGTTGCTGCTGAGGCGCTTAATTTAAGTTACCACCTTATAGGTATAGCGGTATTTCATAGTAAATAAGAGGGTTTTCTTGTTATGGTAACTTTAATTAAGTTCCTTAACAGCAACCTAAACCCCAAACCCTAAACCCCTTAACCCCAAAGCCTGATCCCTAAACCCCCAAATTCCTATACTGCAAACCCTAAACGCCAAACCCCTTAACCCCAAAACCCCAAGTCTACGATATTCTCAAACCCTCAGCAGCCAGGGCCAAGGCAGCCCAGCGTAGCAAGCTGCACGTCGCTGCGCAGCAAGATTTTCATCAGCGGCTCGAACGCCTTAATTCTAGGTTTAGGGTTTATAGAGTCTTAAGGTTGTGTTTTTCTTCTTGATTTTGAGTTTAGGATTTGGGGTTTAGGGTGGAGAGAATCAGGGTTGAGGGTGGTAGGATCCAGGGGGACTTCCATCAAAACTGATGGATCGTTTTTGGGCTGCCCTTGCAAGAATCTAACCCTTGACCCTTGAGCCAGGACCATGGATTTGTGGTGCATACCAAGTACAGCAGCTGAGCAGCTGGGATTTAGGGCTTGCGGTTTAAACGCAAGGGAGAACAATGAAGTCCGTAACGCCGCAACAGCAGCCAACCCTCAAAAATGCGTCACCCCTCAAAACCAGCTCAAAAGCGAAAGTCAATCCCTTCACGGGCCGTGGTTTCGCTAGTTGATCAGAATTTGGCTGGGCTGCGGCAAACGCAGTGCACCTGCGAACTTTGTCGAGGAATAAAATGAGGCAAGGCTGGCGACAACGCAAGAGAGTGGCTGAATGCCAGAAGCGCTTCCAGCGTTCTATCGCCACACTATCATGCGCGGCACGGAGAAACCTCTGCAAGACATTATCAAAACGAGGTATTGTCAAGATGATTTTGAATTCGGGCCTCCCGCTGGCCTGACCCCTGCTTGTAGCGAAACAGCCTTAACAGTTCTCGGAAATGTCTTGAAATGCTTAGGGCTTAGGGTTTGGGAGCCTATGGTAAGTTGATATGGTCCCTTATGTATATCGACAAAAGAAGATAAACTTGAAACACGATCTCCAAATGCGGTCTGGTAACCATGAGGCATTGCTGCTTGACCTGAAACCACCTTGGATCGCCTCATGTGATACTGTAAACATCGCAAAGACAGGCGCTCGCCCATGGAAGAAATCCACTCTTGGATCGTCAACGCGTCCTGTCCCCGCTTGAAGACACCGCGCCAGCGGCAAGGACATGGATGCCCTCGTGCTGCGCATGCTGCGAAACATGGTCATGGCCACAGAGGAACAGGTCAACATGCCAGGCTACCATTACGTCGAGGAAGGGCTGCATGTGTGGTATGGAACCACGTCTGCCTGCTGATACGACACAGTTATGTGCTAGGACGACAATCCAGTGAGCCTTTTGATACTCTGGCTTGGAAACCTCCTTTCGAACCAAGCTCGCTGCCTGCGGAAATATGGGAAGATGTCATTGCCCTCCTCACTGCGTTGCGACATGCCTGTTGCTTGCTCAGAGTCTAGCGCAAGCATGCAGATGCTGATGCCCTTGGGTTCCACGACCTCGCTATACCAATTCGCTGGCATGTACCACCCGTCATGCCGGTAAGTGTACGCCACCTGGGCAGAAGCATCGCTGTAGTAGTCATGGTTTCCGAGGACCGCATACCATTTGAGCCCGTAGCCAAACTGAAACACGTCCTCAAAGATGCCTCGCCACACTACATCCTCCGTCCCTGAAACCCCCATCGGGTACGCGTTGTCGCCCAGCAGAGCCATGAAGCGAATGTCAACCTTGGGAGTCTCGGCCACACGCTTCATTGCAAGAGCACTTTGCAGAAAATCCCTCGACATGGAGGGGATAAAGTAATGGATATCGATGCCGAAATCCGCAAGCGCAAAGAAGGAAAAGGAGCCACTAGCCATGGCTTTCGACAACCGCCCCCCAAACAAACACACGAAGAAAGAATCCAAAAAGACCTTAGAAGATTAACACAAAGCTTTTACGGGCAGGTGAAGGTCGTAGAAGCCATGGCATCTCCTTGAGACCCCAAAAAGACGTGGGCGGTACAGGTTGAAACCCAAAACCCTTCAAAGCAACCCTTTGCGGGTTACCCATGAGTTTTTGGGCATGAGTGTTTGGGCATGAGGGTTTGGGGTCCGAGGTGTGGGTCCGAGAGCTCTAAGACTTTCTTGAAAAAGTTTCCGAATACCAGGTGTCTTTTTTTGGGGGGTCTCTGTCAAGGAGGACTGCGCGATTCACGGGGAAGCCTGAGTTGGGGAGTTCCATGATTGAAGGCAGTTTGGCCTCTGTCAGCCTTCAGGGTGCGGGTGTGGGGTTTGGAGGTTTAACGGCCGTCAGGGTTGGCGCAAGAAACCCTCCCTAAACTCTAAACCCACTAAACTCCCAATTTTTGTAGTGCAGTGTCTGAGGGTGGTGGTGGCTGCTTCAAGCTAAGGGATGTGGGGTTTGGGGCTCCACAACGCGCTGAAACTGCAAACGAGGTTTTCTGGATGCTTCATGTGTTGGATGTAGCTGCCAACTCCCCCCGCTTTGTGTTGGATGTCAACTCCCTGCTGGGGGAAGGTGGGTGATTATTGCTAGCTGCTAGCTGTCAGGGACGTAGCCCAGGCGGCTACACGACTTGGATCCACCTGCCGTGTCGAATCTCTCCCCACATACCACCAGTAAGTAAATCCCAGAGCCTGAAAAGGCAACTTGGGGCCCAGCCTCGTTGCTGAATTGAACCACGAGTTTGTCTTCCGGAGTCACCTGAGCAACAAATCACGCTTAAAGGGGCAATTCCCAGCAGGCTGTGGCGAGGGATGCCCTGGAGTGATCCTATTGAGCTACATACAGGGCATGATCCGAAGCAGCTATGACAACTCAACGCGCATCACACAATGCGTGAATGCTTTCATGCGTTTCGCAGTGTAGTACAGTGGGAAGATGCATCAGTACCGACTCTGTGCTAACAACTACCACGGCTGCTCAACAAATTGGCCCCCCCCTCTGAGAAAAGAGAGGTTTGCGGGCATCATGCGGATCCCACCGAAGGACTGCTGCGCAGCCAGCTACACCAAGAAACCCCCCTCCCATACCACTCCTGCCTGGATCTAAGCAATTCTGTTCATTATCCTCGCATGCTGCTTCATGGATGCAATGTCCCATGTCATAGAGCCATACATCCTAACCCCTGATGAGGCCCTGTCTCACAGCATGGAAACACATACTGTATCTGACACTCTTAAACAACCCCTCACCTAGTGGTGCGAAGGGGAAGTTGGGGAGTGGATCCCTGCAATGCCCCTACATGCGTCAGCATTCATGGCCGGTTTCATAGAGTCTCTAGTGGAAGCTTATGAAGGTACCCCCGCCTGTGGTCCTGTGGTCTGGGTCCTGTGGTGAAGGTTTAAAAAGGGTTTGAAAGAAGGTTCTAGAGAGGTTTTACAGAGATTTCATGGTTGTGGCAGGTTGTAGATATGGCTGATTCCCAAACGGGGACCATACCATGGGGGGGGAGGGGCTGAGAACGCGGAGCGCGGACACAAACATAACATACCCCAATCAACAAAAGGATGGGTCCTTTCCACCAGGGCTACAGGAGCTACACAGGCATTACGGCTGAGAGTAGGCTTGCGGCTATCATGGTTACAGCCTTCGCTCGTCAGCCCCATGCAAGCTGCAGCTTGAACTTTATGCGGGCATCTCATTACTGTAAGGGCTTAGAGGCATTGTGTTAAACTTGATATTGACCTTTCGAAAATGTTCAGGATACCATGGATCTTATTGAGCGGACCGAAGCCACGTACTGGTCCCTCCACCAAGCCTTCGTGACGACGCCAACCGACCAGCCTCACACGTGTGTTTCCGTTTATGGGAAAGGTTCAGGGTTTAGTATTTAGGATTTTGGGTTGAGGATTCTGGGGTTCGGTTCAGGATTTGGGGGTTCTCGGTGTTTCAGGCATCGTCTAGCACACCCACCAGAAGGACTACAATCATAACCTCTTGACAAGCTGCGTGATTCTGCACATAGCTGTCCATTTGGGGGGGCATTTCGCTACCAAAATATGGGAGTAAGAGCGGGGACCCCGTATAAAACCCCCAAAACTATACTCCTTATTATGGCAGCCGCTAAGAAGGGACTCCTTCGTTTGGGAACCCCATATTTTCGGGTCAGAGGTTTGAGGCCAAGAGTCAGGGGTGAAGCCCTGGTCTTTGTGTGAATTCCTGGGATGTTGGCCTACCCTTCCCACACTCTATGAAAACTGCACATTGCCTCAGCATGTAACGACCCTGAAACTAATTCAGGAACCCCCTAAAAATGGACTCATCCCACAGTGCGTTGCGCCCGCTGGGCTACCAACAAAATCAATGGTCACTGAACAATTGCGAATAAACAGCTGCACTGCGTCTCTGCAGCTGTTCTTCCAAAGAAAGGGTAGAAATGAAGGTGGATTTCCCAAATTCAGGCGGGACCCTTTGGAATTCCCAAGAACAGCGACTTGAACATTTTGGGGTCTATATCAGGGTCTGCCTACCAAGTGCTAAAACGGAAGAAGTCAATTGCAGCCAGCGTTCGTGCTTGGCTGAGACAAGCTTGCCAACAGATCTTAGAAAGAGACCGCTCTCTAACCGACATTTAACTTGGAAGCAATGTCAACGTTGGATCCTGCATGGGCATAGAGCCCCCAAAATACGAGCCCAATTTCAATTTCACTGCGGAAGGCCCAATGATGATGAATCGATGAAAATCATCCCCTGCAAGCCTTCTATTTGTGAGCTTTGAGGTCATGAGCCACAGAATTGCAGCTACCCAAACTAAGTAGTTAGAGTCCCCCTTAAGTAGATGGAATATGTATATGTTACTATAATACACCCAAAGCCATTTGGGTTCCTGCGGCCTGCGGTACCCGGCCTTTCAGGGACGAAGAGAAGACTTCCAAGATCGAGCCCGCACCTCTGCAAGAAGAAAGCTCTTCAGTGTCTTGGGCAGGACATGGCGGGGTTGAGTTTCTACTTGATTTTCCGGTATCCCCGACATATACCCTGTTATACTATAGGAGTTTCAATTCTATTTTCATTATCCCCAGTATATACTTATAACAGAGGAGTTTCCGTTTTATTTCCAGCATCTCCAGATAAGGGGGTGTTGGGGGGTTGAGGTTCAGCTACTTGGGGCTTTTGTGCAAGGGTGTAAGGGCGTGGGGGCTTGGGGTTTCAGGAAGGAGCCAGCTGGAAAACCAAGCGGGCTGCAGTTCCCGACAAGACACACCCGCCCTGGACCTGAAATGGCAACATTACGTTGCCCTTGCTATTAGAGAATTAACTAGCGGCACCTGCAGTCCCCCGGTATTAACTCACACTTCAATGCGAAGCTCTTCAAAGTCTTCCAGTTTTTTTCGTGGTAGCATGGTTGCTCCCTGCAATGCCCTCCACGGCCGCCGCATGCACTAGACACTGCAGTTCTCACAGCAGGAGTAGATGTTGCTTGCTCCAGTCAACTTTCAGGTAAGCTGGAACCTCGCAAGCTTCTGCACTGTGTTCGCTTCGGTGGCTCCCTCGACTTCAAGCTGCTTAATACGCCTCGGGCGTGAGCTTGCTAGGAGGAACAGTACGAGATTCAGAAAGCCCAACAAGTTTCAATCGCGAACGAACCCAGTGGCATGCTCAAAGCCCAGATTGCATCCTGATTCCAGCGTGGGTTTTTGTACACGGCCTACATTGGATCGCAACATTCCCAACAACAAATGTGAAATAGATCCAACCGTCATTTGAGGCTTACAGTAAGATTTGAGAAATGCAGCGATTCTATCAGAATTTTGATTTTGAGAATAAAAGGAGGCGTAGTGCAGAGATGTCATCCCTGTCACGTGCCTAAGCCCTTGGGAAGTTTGTCCTAAATAAACCTCGAACTGCCACAAAGTCCTCACAACCCCCGTTGTAGTAGTCCCTGCATACGCACTCTGAAGCACACATTCCGAGATTCTGTTTTCGCACCAAAAGTTGGCCATCCAGCAAATTCAACTTCTCATAACGCAGACCTTAAACAGTTCGCCCTCAATCACCATCAGCAAGTATATGGTAGTTTCCCTAGATAAGGGGACCCCAATATAAACCCCAAAATACTATAATCATTATTATAGGGACCCCCAAAAAGGTACCCATAATTTTGGGAAACTCCCTTATAATAGTAAAAGTAATAGTAATAGTAATAGTAATAGTAGTAGTAATAGTAATGGTAATGGTAATGGTAATAGTAATAGTAATAGCAATAGTAATAATAGGAATAATAGTAATAATAGTAATAGTAATAGTGATAGTAATAGGAAGTATATCCCTAGACTTCAGAAGGCCCAAAGCACATGATTTCAAGATGTCACCACATCAAAAGGCTGATGATACCTAGACCTCCCAGGCATAGCACTCCTTGACCCTGAACCTAACAATCCCTAACACTGGACTTAGCAGCCCCAAGCATCAGAATCCTATCCTCTAACCTTATCCTCATTGGGGATTAGGGAACAAGGGACTAATATTATATAGGGATTTAGAATTCATTCATTCTCACTAAACGCCAGGGGATGAGTAATTCTGGAATAAGGGACTATATGATATAGGGATTATATTTCCTCATTCCCTGGTAAGCACCAGGAAGTATTTCTGCACTCCAGGGCACCCCAGGACTGGCGCAACTTCAGCTCTTGCTGCATGTTATGCGCCTGCTCCGAGGTACAAAAAATCTTGAGGAAGTTCGACAGGGTATTGAAGTGGGTTGCCTTGTGCATGTAACGGAATAGAAACTGTGAAGGAATACTGCCTGTGCTCATGTCATGTAGGTTCCCACAGTATCCCAGAATACGACATGATGGGATTCATGGGGGCTCTTGAAGAATCTTGAGTGTTTGTAAGGCTTTCACCAGGGCTTCAGGGACCCCCAAGCGAGGCAGCATGACCTTGACACTCCCACTGAACCCGACATCTCACCCCTTGACTTTCAAACTTACCAAACCATTTTGCTGTTGGCCTCTTCATGCACGGGATCATATCATGGCTAGGAATCGTCTCAAGGCGGACCACCTCTTTTTCCCGGCGGCAAGTTAGCTGTTCAAATCCCGGTTTACCTGCGCACGACAGCTAAGTCTACATAAGCAGCACTGATTCATTCTGCCTGTTGCTGCTGAAAATCCTACAATTTGGTCCACTGGTCAAAAGTGCTATTGGATGCCACAGAAGCCATGAACATTGACATACTTCCGTTGGTGATCCATCTTGCTCCAGAAGGAACGCTCAAAAGCAGCTGATCTGACCAGCCTCACCGCCCTGTGGACCGCTTGCAGGCAGGGTCCCTGTCCATCAAAGATTTCACGCTGTAAAATCAGGCCCTCTAGGACCTAGGACCCAGACTTTTAGGCTGAGAGTTTGGGGGTTGCATTTCTTTGGGGAGTGGTTTAGGGAGACCTAAGGGGGTTGTGGGAGCCCCTCAAGAAAGGGGTTTTCGAATCAGGGGGCATCTTGTAGAACATGCAGCCAAATACAGGGTGATCCTTACAACGGAACCCCAAAAGAGGATCCCCAAGACCCCAGTGTTGAAGGTTGAAGCCTTCGGAACTCGAGGTCTAAGTTACTAAAGGTTAAGGGCTCAGGGTGCCGAACTGTGACAGAAACTACCCGTGCAAATTCCGAGACCATGACCCGAGGGCATCTTCTTCAGTGCATTAAGAAGCTCATACAGGAAGAAGCTTTACACGTAAACACGAACCATTGATGCGATTGGCCGAACATGAGCAACTGTGTTTTTTTGAGGTCGTTCCTGCGATGCCGATGGTTTTGGCGGTTTGGTGTTGAAGCTCTTCGTGTACAGATGTACTACTCACGTGTCCTGCTAGGTAGTTCCCACAATACTTTCAAACCCTGTCCAGTACTACTACTCAGATTCCTTGCTCTGAAAACGCATATCCAGGTGCCTGACTGATTGCTGATGTGCAGTCTGCCCCCCGGTGCCCAGCGCTTAAGCCGCATTCCCGACGAATATTTCCGTGGACCCCATCGCCAATCTATGAACTCAGGCTCATCAACACTTTGCTCGAAATAGCAATAATAATAGTAGTATTGGGGTATATATTGGGGTTATGTTGGGGGATAATGGAAAAGAAAATGATGGAAACTACTATAATGGGTTATTTCAAGAGTTCAACTGCCATTGCCACTGGCAGTTGGGCTATGCAATCTTGCCGGTATGTTTGCGGCTTTGCAACTTAGTCTGCCCAAAAGGCGGGATATGAATCCATCAATCAGAATCACAGTAATGACTCCCATATACTGCATGGATTGGCACGGATTGAGGGAAATGATCAACCCTGAACGTGGATCACCAAATTTTCGCCCCCCAAGCCTAAACTCTGTTTCTGTGCAGAAAGGTGCACCTGGAGGAGCGAAGCGGGGAAGTGTTTCCCGCCGTGGCCGCGCTAGCTCCGCCGCAGAACCGGGCCTTTCGTTCAAGGTGGTCAGGAGATTTCTGGTTTTGTGGGTTTAGGCCAGGGACCAATGAATACACAAAATGAGAGCTGGATAAGACGTGACAGCAGCGATGACAAGGGTGATTAAGATCAACGCCCTTACGCCTGGCTAGAACCAAGAAGATTCCTAAGGCGTCTTCTCTCGCCCACTACTACTAGGAATTGCAACTTGGTCAGAGCATGCGCATCGCTGCCACATCATCCCACATCTATGGCCAAGTCCTAGACTACCATCCTTGCTCGCAGGCCGCCACCTGAGAAAGCTTATCGGACAATTTTCCTAAAGTCTAAGTAATTGCTGTTGCAACAAGTGGCAATACTTCACAGTTGGCCAAAGACAACCGTGTAACGCCCCCATACCTTCTCAGGCTAAAGATATGCTGGGGGCCTGGCAAGCAAAGTTCACGCTTGGTCTTCGGAATAGTGGCCTTTGCAAATAGGATTCCGACAATTCCGCATATGTTGCGTTTCTTTCTTACATGCTCAGGAACTTGATAGATACCTTGTGCCCTGTTTGAAGGGGCTTTTGGGCTTCATGCCGTCCTCTTTGGGCCTCAGCTTCCGTCCGCCTAGACGGGGATGCTGACATGTACGTCGCACTTAGTATTGACAGACACAATGTCCAGTCCCCCAAAGCACGTGGACGCGGACCACGGCAACAAAACTAGCCCCAATTACCCAATGCATCACGCACCTGCGAAACGGAACGCCAAGCCGAAATCCCGACCCGAAGCCCTGCACTGGAGCAGTTCTCCAAGTCTGTGGCCGGCGCATGGGCAGCGAAGCCTGTGCAAATGGGCAGGCATCTAAAATCTGGATGATTTGGGCGGGGTCTGGGCTTTTTGATGCTGGGGGCTTTAGGGCTGCTAGTACGCATGCTGCCGGACTCTCTGATTCAATTGTTTTTTCCGAAGCTTAGCATCTTCCTGAGCCAACGGCTTTTGCATGACGCTTGTCCTTAAAAATCCTCCAGCTTTAGGCACAGCTTCACAGACCGGACAAGCGCCGGCGCCAAAGAGGACCGCCAATCACAGGCACATCACAAAGCCATGATCATCACGAGAAGCTGGAAAGGTGCCTTGAAAGGAGGGATTATCCCCCTAAGTTTAACATAGAACCTGAAATTTGACACCTTGTAGATTACTCTTTTTTGAAGATGGGCTACAGGCAGTTGCATGTTAGTTCGGGGGAGGGGGGAGGGTACTACTACGCTATATAAGGTCTTTTCAACCATCCCGGACGTTTGAGACGTTCGCGGGAACCCCTGCCTTTGGCTGCCACACTACCTTGAACTGCCAGAACCTGGGCCCGCACGGAGCACACTTGCACGACAAACAATCCCGAAGTTTTAGGCTTCAAAAGTTCCACTCAAGGCTTACAGGGCTTTTGGTGGAATTCGGTGAAGAGGGCTAGGACATTGTGGGTTCAACGCTTCGTTTGG